TGATTCAAAAATTCAAAAATTTTGATTTTCTGAGAGCTCATAGGATTCTGTGGCTGATTCTAATTTTAATTCTGATCATATGAAATTCCAGGATCCTGAGATCAGTTGTTCAGAAACAGAAACATTCAAAACCGCTGCAGCATCTGGTTGGGATTCTGAGGATTCTGAGATTTTGAAACTTTCATTTCATTCTCAAGTCTGAGACTCTGAAAAAAAAAAAAAAGTCAGAAAAAAACGAATACTAAAATTTCATAATACATATAAGAACCTTTAAATCCTTGAATCTCTTAACTTCAACATTGAACATCAACAATGAATAAACACTAAAAGAACGCTACCCGGACCGTCAATACATATCTCACTTCCTGTGGTGTTTATCATGATATCAGCAACATTTTATCAATTAATAACTTTTTGTTATCTTCCACAGTAAGTTAAATATATTGGCTCAAAGTTGACGGTCGGGGGGGGGGGGGGGGGGGGGGAGGCGTTCTATTAGAGTGTTTACGGTATCTGAAAAATGTATGTTTTAAATTTTCCACATGCAATCCAATTAACTTAGAATTTAAAACATTTCGACACCCAACCCAAAATATCTGCGGAAAGTCATAAAACAAATTGCATAGTTCTGTCTGTCTGGGTCGAATTGCATCTGACGGAGCAGCATTTATTCCAGACCAATTCGCTTTTTTTTGTGTGTTTGGATGAATAAGGAGCAAACATGTTGATATAGAAATTGAGATTCATTGAGAGTTTTGATCTTTTGTTAGTTTGTTTCCAGCACTTTTTGTTTATACTTTCAAACTTTCTGTTTGAAGAATAGACGAATGGCACCTCCTAGTGCAGAAACTTGCCACCCGTATTACATCGTGCTGTCTTGGTCCAGTAAACAACATTGGACTTTATGATAATAAGAGTTCAAAAGATTGGAATTCGAATTCTCCCGCCAATAACACTACTTAATATTTATCCCTCCTTAATTGAGACATTTCCAAAACCGGAACTCTTCTGATAAGTTTCCAAATAGGTCGCACGTCTTCTCCCCACAACCAGCAACACATGAACTTATGAATCTTTAGCAGGAAGGTAGTTCTTATCACTCAGAACACCCGTACCGTGTGATGGTGCTGATTACTTAAATTACCTTGACCTAAAAAATTATTTCTCAAAAATGTTTTATCTTGCGCACAAACCCCCGTGTTACATCAAAAATTATCTCCAAAAACCATCCGATTCTTCTCTTCACTCCCCCGACCATTTCACTTTTAGTCTAGACGCATCTTTCTAAAAAGATTGTTTCTAAACTCCTCCCACTTTTAGAAGAATATAAAATAGGCTTCGTTATTCAGAAGGAGACGTGCATTTCGAGAAGTTCATTCATCTGAATTCCCGGCTAGTATAATGTATTTTTTCTTGTCATTAGTGATAAAGCATATGATTATATGTATCAGACGTTTCGAGCACTAAACTTCAAATTTATGTACGAAATTCAAAAATTCAATTTTTCATAAAACATGATCCTAGCCAGCCAAGTCTACAGTATCAGACTAAATAGGTATTCGATAATTTCTGACGAATTCGTGTCTTTTGAGCCATTTTAAGATCAAACTGTAAGCCTTAAGCTTAGACAGCTCCGAGAAGATTTAAGAAGTTCAAAAAATTTGGTCATTGATTCCCCTGGTTAGTGATTTTATAAAGTGCAACAATCGTTTATTTTACCAAGGTCTTTCTCGATCTGCAGACACGATATCAGACAGCCGTCTCATTGAACCTAACGAGACTCAATATCAAATTTTACTTTATTTGATCATGTCTATTCGTGTAGGGCAACTTACTTTTCTTTTAAGGCTATTATGCTGGATATCGGACCCGTGGAAGAGTAAACCTGGTGGCCACGGCCACGACCAAATTACCTTAGTTAGCAAATAAATTTAATTTCCTTTTTTTCGAGTTTCGTCCGTTTTCCGGCCAGTTTTCTTTGTCGAAAAGATGAATTAATCTAGAAAGAAACCGAAAATTTCAGATTACGGTGGTTTTCGTTGCAGGGACTGTTGGCCACGCCCACAAGCTTTTCTTTTCCATTGCTCCGATATTTATTAAAGAATACTAGTTAGCTACACTATTGAAACATTTCCCACACCTTTTTTATAAATCCAGATAAGCAACTATTTCCCGAAAAAACCAGAGATTATTGTCTAGACCTTCTTTAGATTTCATCTGTCTTCTTGGAATATACTCTCCGCGTGATCTTCGAAGATCTCCTGAACTTTTATGGAGAGAGAAAAAGAGTGCGAAGGTTTGGCGCGAGATTTCAGACGTCATGCAAACGAGGGAAAGCGAGCCGAATAAGAAGAGATTAGTGCATAGACACTTGCTCTCTTTCTTTTGGACTAGTATACATATATAATCACCTGTTAAAAAATTTCCAGAATATAGCTATCGCCAGATTGACTCGATTAGTAAGTAGACATGTTTCTGTTTTTATCTTCTGTGCTTTTTTACTTCGAACTTTATCTTCGTCTCTCTTTATCAAGCTCTAAAAGTTTTATTTGCAGAATCATGAATACTTCATTTGAATCTGAAAAACGCGGAATCCAATCGGAAATCCAAAAACTCGAGTGCTATGAGCGGAACTGCCTTCAAGGATTGCTCAACTGTGACAGAACCTTCCAGCAAGTGGCCCCACAATTGTCGCCAGCAGAATACGAAAGATACGCTCAACAAACTCAAAAAGTAGCAGAAGCAGCCACGTACTCGTTCATGTTTGTGAAGAGTGTCAAAGATGATAAGATGGTGGAACTTCAGCAATTGGAGCAAAAGAAAGCTGAGCAGCAGTTTTGGGCTCGCATGGCAAGTCAGGAGGAGAAGTGAAATGTGACAGTAATCCGAAGACGTCCAACGAAGTTTATAATTCTAAACCGATTTAATAATTTGTTAAAATTTTTTCTTAAAAACTTAAGCTCCGATCCCTCCGTCTTTCTCCGAAACCATGTCTTTTGCCTTTTTTGTTTTATTCTAAAGCCCTTTTTTTTCTATTTCGTGTTTAAATAATTGTGTAAATAAATGTACATACCCAAAAAATTGAAAAGTTAAAAACGGATGAGTTAGTTCCAGGGGTTACAAAGATAAACATAACGAAGAAAACACGGTGTTTCAGATTACAAAAAATCCGATTAACAGGAAATTTTGAGAGTTGGATTGTTCCCAAACTAATAGTAAGAACCTGATGTTTAAATTAGGAGTCCATGAGTTGGCTGGATGTTAAAAGAATGCGAGTACCAAGGCGAGTATCAAGGCAGAGAGAAAAGTGTTTTGCTGAATTTTTTTTCGATCGGTTGCAAAATAAGGCAATTTCGCATAAAATTTAATTTAAAAAATAAGAAAATTCGAATCGTATTAACTTGAGACATTTAATAATGTTCCGAGAACCTTCCAGAAAATCTTAAAAGCGCGAGCCGGCCTGAGATTTTGCAACTATGATTAAAAGAACGAACAATTTTTCCAGGAAGCTGAAACAATCTCAAAATGTTAAGAATTTTCAAATATTGAATATCGGTTTTTAATTCTGTTTTTTCGGAAATCGAGATTCGAAATTTTCGAGAAAACTGCAATTTATGAGATTATGGTATTTCATATTTTTTAGAATTCAGGAGATTCCTATTATCCGTTATTCAACTGTCTAGGATTTCAACTTTCTGCAATTCACTAATTCTAAAACGTGAGACCTTTGGATTCCTCAGGAATATGGTGATTAACAAGGCAAATGCAATCAAAAGATCATGAGCTGAGCCATTTCTCTTCATATTCTCTCGATAAAAAGGTCACATTTTATGGGGAAATGTATTTTCCGTTATTTTTCGCTATCATTCTTCTTTTATTCAAATGGATTATCTTCAATAATTGGTTTGAAATTTTCCCATTAGTTTTTGTGTTTCACATCGTCAACAAGCCCATTTCTCATAACATTTATGATGTTTTTCGCAGGACTTTTTACCAATAAAAATACAGTACTCACTTGTGTTTGTCACCTGCTCCACACCTGCCACCTTTTGAGAAAAAAGGTGGAGAAACTACAGTATCCCAGTCTTGAACTTTGAAGAAAATGTCTATTTTCTCATTTATTCTGATATTTTTGAAATTTTTCTCATTTTGAAGCCAAAATTACCTTCATGATTGTCTTTTTGAGCGAGATGTATTCATGGTCGCAAAAAGTCCTCTTTTTTAGTGAAAATTCTGAATGTGTTTTTTTAACTGTTATAACACTCTTAATGACTCACAGCTTACACAGATATTGATTCCTCAATTCAAATCTAGATGTTTCATTTTCGATTGATTTGAATAGTTCGCGATCGTTTTTTTTTCTCGTTATCTTATTGGATTTTTAAGAATTTTCATTTTAAAGTTCTATTAGTCTGTGATTAGTCTGATTAGTCTAATTAGTCTGACTAGTCTTACTCAAAAAAGTTCTTGAGTAGTTTTCGATTTTCCGTATTTTTTTCCATATTCATTAGATACATTTTCAGATGACAATGCTCGACTCTGCATTCGATAGAGAGCGAGCCGAAATCGTAACTCGCTTGTTGAAGGTTACTGATCAACTGGCTGCGACTCGTGAACTTTTGAAAGATTTTGAAGAAGTCTGGGTCCACCCGATCACGACTAAAAAAAGAGTCAGAGGACAAACGAGAGCTCAGCTTTGGGTTATGACAAAAATCATGGAACGAGAAATTCAATTCAATCAAATGATATGGGAATTAACAGCGGCACAAGCTCATGAAACGGAGGCGATTCTAAGAGAGACACTCCATGATGAGGTATAGTTTTGTACGATTTATTGTAAATTATTTCTTGTCATTTCAGTTGAAAAAGTTCCAATTGTGATTGCTTTCAACATCCCCAGGAGAACACACATCGATCTGAACACACATCGATCTAAACTTCTCTCAATAAAAATGTTTTTAAAAAAAATTTCAATGAAAAGTTCACAAAACATCAAAAAACTGTACTATTTGGTGGTTGACACCTGTGAAACATCTGCCACATTCTGGGTTAAAAGTGAGCCATAAACGGATATTCTAACGACTGCATTACGCCTCTTTTTCGTCATTATTCCAATTGTTCAGCCCATTTTTTTGGAATTTTATCAGGAAACAGTGATTACTATGATCAATTTCATAGCACTTCTGTACTTGCCAATGAGTAGTAGTAGGATAACTTGAAAATATTATGCTGGTTTTTTCAAATATTGCCGTTTTTTTGAAAAGCTTCTCATGGAATTTTCTCTTTTCTTATATCCGCGCCCGTCATCTCAATTTACATTCTTCGACCCGTTTTGAGCTTCAGATGACTTCCACCCAACCAGACGAAGATCAAACTTGCCGCTTCCGAAAAATAGTGGACGAGTTGGAAAGCATCAGCAAGGGAACTCAAAATCATGCGAAGCGAAATGGAATCGTGTTCCATTGTGAGACAATCAATGAGGATGAAGATGTAAGAATCAACAGAAGCTTCTGGAAATTTAGAACTTTTAAAAAGTTTTTCGGAATGATAGTTTCTAGGATTACTGTATTTCTTCTATTAAAAGCTCACCAAAACCGTCAACTTTAAGATCAATTATCTCGATTGCTGTAATAGATATCGAAATTTTGTCTACTGATAAAATATTTATCATAATATCACCACCATTTTATCAATAGACAAAATTTTAATATCTTTCTCAGGAATCGAGATAATTTAGCTCAAAATTGACGGTTAGGGTGGGGAAATACGGTAAAAATACGGTAGAAATACGGTAAAAAATATATGGGAAATACGTTAAAAAGATAGTATGTTTTTACATTAAAAAAGAGCAAGAATGATGTGTTAAAATCTCGATGAAAAAAATTTTTGAGTCCCTCTTCTCAAAATATTAACTTCAGATGTCATATTCTCCATCTCATTCTCCCTTCGACAAAGAACGTTCTCAAATCGAATCTCGCATGATTTCACCTCTGGAGAAGCTGGAGAAAGTTAACACTTTCTGCGATCACATCTCTCCGTTCCTAGTCGAAGCCCTCAATTATTCCAAAATTACCAAAGAAGCCGAGTCGACAATTTTAGATACTATCTGCCAAAACGCAGTGGAGTCTACAGAAGCTCTGGTAGAGGTGATGGAGGCATTCAAGAAAGAGAGTAAGGAGATGGAGGAAGTTGATAAGAAGGAGAAGCTCTGCAACGAAGTGAGTTGAACGAGTGATGGGAATGAGCGATAACGAGATTAATTTTCAGCTCAAAAATTTGCAAATCGAACAATGGATCGAGGAATTGCAAGATTAATTGAGGAAGCTAAACAAATTTATGTATTTGAGCTATTCCCGATGAAAATTTTTAAAATTTGTTTTTTGTCAGAAACTCCGATAATCTTCTGATATTATAAAAATTGTATTTTGAAACACAATCTTTTAAGAAACATGAGAAAAACTATCCGCCTAACGAAGATTTGGCTTCCAGGGTTTCTGAAAGAAAGAGAAAAAATTGAGGGTAATAAAATTCCTGACACCAAACCAAACAGCATATTTTAAGAGAGCGAGAGAAACACATATTTCTATAAATTTTCATTCTTCAACATAAATTTTTCACAAATTTTGGTTCACAACTCAAACAAATATGTCAATCTCACTCGGTACTCTCTCCCTTGGCTTCCTATTAAAATTTTTGGTTTTTTTTGGGGAAAGTTTGGAAGAAGGGAGCAGAGGAACCTGATGAATGGGATGAGTCACATGTATTTTTCGTTTCTTTTTCTCTCAAGATTTATCTACTGGTGCATCTGATCTTCGTTGTAGTTTTTCTTACTTGACCTTTTTCACTAGAGATTATGAAAATGCCCTATTTCGAGACACCTGTTTAACATCTGTGAAGTGTGAGATGTACTGATGTAGCTCTTTCGATTGCCCTTTGAGTTTCATTCAATAGTTTTCCCTATTTTCTATCTCTTCTGTATTTCTGTAATTTTTTTTCAGTAATGGAAGCATTCATCATAGACCAAAGCTATTTTGAAGATCAACGTGCGGAACTTCGTGCTCTCATGAAAAATAATCACCGCCGCCTAACAGCAATCCGTAGCTATCATGAACATCTCGAATATAAACTGAGGTTCAGAATGGCAAGACCGAATATGTCGGTCAACCAACGATTTCAAATTCTGGATCTCGTCAATGAGGCAGCTATCAAGATTGATCAGGCGACACAGATGTTGGATCAGGCTAATATTGAATTGATGAAGAAGTATATCCAGGTCAATAATTCTCAAATCGTTCATTTGGAGGTGAGACTGGGTAAATCGTATTTAGGGAAAAAATGTGTTGAAAATGGAGTAAGCACGTTTCTTGTCTATGAAATATTCGAATATTTTAGGATTTCTTAGGAATGAATAGACAAAATCGTAAAATAAAAAAATCGTCCGTTTCCGAAGAAAAAGGAAGAAGAAGACACGAGAAAAAAGTTAAAAAAAGTTTACACACTCTTATAGAGTGCCATCCAAACCGTCAATTTTCAGTTCATATATCTTATTTCCTGTAAAAGATATCAAAAAGTGGTCAGCTGACAAAAAGTTAAACCTATTATCAAAAATATTTGGTCAGAGTTGGCATTTTGGGTGACACTCTATTAGAGAGTTTACAATATAGTTATAACTTTCTTTTCTTCTCTATGTTTTCTTCAGAAACTGACGATTTTTTCTTTGAACAAAATTTTAAATTATAATCGGAAAAACATTTGAAATTTATTGAGAAGCCGCTTGAATCATATTTTTATATTTTCAGCTGTCCAAATTCTTCATCTAATCTGCAAATTTCAAACAACGTTTCCTCGGAGTGTACATCAGAACTGCACAACTTGGAGGGTCTTTATGACTTTTTTGAATAAACATTTTATTCTGTATATCTTTTTTGATTTCATTAGTGGAAAATGTTTTTATTAGCGGGAAGTTAATTCAAAATTGTTGGTTACATTACTGTGGAATCCAGGGATGTACCGAATTAGAAGATTTTCGGAAAGTGAACCCATTTGTCGTTGCAAAAAAGGTTGATAAGGTGTATCAATTGCTTCCCCTATTAATTAAATCTTCTTCTCGGCGATCGTTTATCACTCGGGTCAAGTTGTTTGTCGATTGTTTCTTTTTAGAGAGGGAATTGATAAGATTAGAAAGGAAAACTGGCGAAATATGCATGAAGAAAAAATGATTTATTGAGATGTCACTTTTTTGATTCTTTGAGAATATCAAAACCTTATTAGGAAATTTTAAACATCATTAAATTTTACATGTAATAGTAGGCAGATGAGAAGTTTAGGTATGACCCATATTGGAATAACAACGGTAATAAATTTGAGGAGAAAAGTTAGGAAAGCCAACTTGGAGAGGCAAATACTGTGACCATGGCACCATCGGATCCCCATGCTGGACTCAGAGCATATGGGGATAAAACGACTGCAGTGACATATTGAGGAGATAGAATAGTTGGAGATAAAACGAATGGAGAAAGTACCAGAGGACTCAAAGCCAATGGATTCAGAATAATTGGACCCAGACAGAAAGGTGTCAGAATCAATGGAGTAAGAACTTGTGGAGAGAGAATGAATGGAGTGAAAACTAGCGGAGAAAGGACGAAAGGGTTCATGGATCCTGGACAAAGAATGAACGGATTGAAGGCAAGAGGAGAGATGATAATGGGAACCATTAAGAATGGATTCACTGCTACAGGAGAGAGAAGACGCGGGGAGATAATGACAGGGACCATCAGCCAGGGAGACATGATCATGACTCCGTAGATAGCTGGGGAGAGGATAAGGGAGCACAGCATGACTGGAGAGAGGATGGTTGGTTGGGATACGGACTGAAATTTAAAAAAAAAGATTTTTTCGATTTCTTGAGCTTGGCTAGAAAAAATTAACAACATCTCTGAATATCTACTCACCACTGGATCTAAAATGAAGTTTGAAAATGTAATCGGTGACAACACAATATCGTTTCTCCTCGCCTCAAATTTCACTTTCTCGTGAGCCAAATCTTTAATTGTGCTCATAATTGCTCTATCTATCTGCGGTCTGCTCAACGCCTTCGCCGTCTTCAAGAACTTTTCGTTCTCTCCCACTGATCCTTTTCCATAGATTAAATCCATCTGATCGTGTCTCATAATTGTATATCCAGTTCTATTCATTTCCTTCAATTGCTCATCTGAATAAGTTTTATCCAACGCTTCAAACATGTCAATCTTCTTCGCTTCGTGTGGATACTTTTCCGTCACATTTTCTTTTGTAAAATATAATGGTTGACCTTCTGGACCTCTTCCCATTGCGTCATCTTTCAGCCTTCGATACTCTCCGATCTTCTTCTCGACTCGTTCCATTGCTTCGTTCACTCCAGTTGCTTCTACGATGAAGTCGAGGAAGTCTTGGGAATCTTTGTTGTTAGTTAGCGACCCGAGAAGATTTCCAAGTGATGCTTTCTTCTCAACCCCTGATCCATCATCGTGGAGAGCAAACAGAGATGGAGAGAGAACGTCAATCTGGAAGAATAGATCTTAACATCCATAAAAGAGTTTTGGGAAAGTTTACCTCATTATTCTTTGCTTCCTCTTCTTGTGGAATAACACTCATAATTCTAGGACTAATAATCCTCACAATTTTTCTATCGAAGTCAGTTGTGTTGTATCCCGTCATTCCTAAACTCATTTTGGCGGCTGTAACAAACTACAGTAATCTTTCCTTCTCAAAATTGTTGCCTACCATCTCTCATCATTTTCATCGGAATCATCAACAATTTATCTTGCTCTGTGATTTTCTCCTTACGATTTCTCAACACATCCCGAATCTGATCGTTATCAATAAACTCCTCCAAATCGTTCATCTCTTTCAGACTGTCGTCTTTTGCCAATTTCTTATTTTGCTTCATTTTGGCTGCTGCATCAGTAAAAACACTCAACCTCCTCTGCATAAAATCTTCCATCTTCTTCTGTTCCTTTATTACATCTGCCTTCTTGGCAATCCTCTCAATTGTATCCTGCCATTTTGACACCTTATCAGTATGCTTCAGAAGTTTGACGGCACTTGTCAAATGTTTTGTCACCAATCCAAATGGACTCATTTCCTTGTGTGATTTTAGTGTGTAACTGTCTCTGGTGTGCACTTTGATTTCTCTTTTCGCTCGGAATCGGAACGATCCAACCCATTCTTTTTCCTTTTTGATTTCTTCTGCAGTGATTGGAGCCATAGTGGTTCTGGTCTCCATTTTATCGATTCGTCTACGCATTTCTGACAAATAAATGAATAGTTTAAGATGAACTAAGTGATCCAAAACTTACTTCTTACGAATAAACGTTTTCTGTGAATCAGTCTGTTTCTGTGAGCATAGTCTTCTAATTGAATAAGACATTTCGCATGCTCTGCCAGAGTTTCAGCTTCAGAAGAACATTTTTCGTGGTCTTTCTTCTGATATTCTTCAACGAGGGATAACCTGAAAAAGACAAACCTCTAGAAAAACTAGGTCAAATATCGTGTTTTCTCTAATAAACTTTCTGATCTGAGAAATTAATCACTAAACATAATTTTTGTTCGGAATCCGTTTACAACAAATTCTACTTGGTATCTCTACTGTTTCTCTAGTAATATCTTAAAACAAAGGTAGATGTGGAAACATGCTACGCAATATAGAAGCCCACTCAGACAGCAAATTTTGAGGTCAATTATCTCGACTCCTGTGAAAGACCTAAAAAAATTTGTCAACTGAGAAAATATTGGTGACATTAAGATAAAAACTTATTAGTTGACAATTGTTTCCTATCTTTTACAGGAAAGAGATAATTGAGCTGAAACTTGACGGTTTGTGTGAGCATCTGTTATATTAGAGAACATACGGGGTTTACAGTTCTGAGATGAGCTGAAAGGGGTTTTGAAAGGGTTTCAGTTCAAGTTACCACAAGCTTTTGTCGAAATTTCAAAGTTTTCAGAGAGTAGAACTTTATCCAAATTGAATTAGTTAAAAAATGAGCCATATAGAAGGTTCAAAAACTACAGTAATCTCTTACCTCCTTGTGGCGATAGCTGCAACCACTCCTGAAAAACCTTGAACTGCCCAATGCTCCAGAAGCTCTTCTCCAGATTCTGTGTTCATTGGAATATTGAACACTTTATCTTTATAATGAGGAGATTTCAGGATCTCCTGCTGAGTCAATCCATATTTCGTAACATCGATTTCTGATTTTATTTTCAGACTTGAGCATTTTGTAGTAAATAGAAAGAATATTAATAGAACAAAATTCATTACAGAGAGAAGGAAGACCCAAGAAAGGGATTCCCTGTGATTTTATGGATTTGGTTTTCAGGAAGAAAAATGGGCGGTGCCCATAGGAAAAGCGTCCTGAAGTTCATCGTCCTACAAAACGTGGTTTTCTTTTCCCAAGATGTCCGCAAAAATGGGCGGAGTCGGATCGGATAATTAATGAGGAGCGAAGAAATGGCGAGAAGTTCGAAGAGAACGGACAGGAATGATCCCTTTGAACTGAGATGCCTCACATCGGAGTGCCACATTTTGATCCTGATTTTGAAGTGGTGGAGATAATAGGCGAAGAAGAGAGATCACGTGCATTTCGCATTGTTTCAATGATGTTTGAAGTAGGTGGGATTTGTGGTTCGAGTTTTGTTTCCATCTTTGAAAACAAATGAAAACTGTTTGATCTCCGTGTATTGGATCATTAGAGGAAAGGCAAGAGGTGTTGATTGTTGCAGGATCCGGACACAGGTGAGATTTTTCGTCACTTTCGATTGTGATACGGTAGCTAAGAATCCAAAATAGGTTTAAAGGAAATCTGAAGATTACCAGAAAAAAACGTTTTTGAGCAAGACAGTGTAGTTTCTTAAAGATTTATTTGAAAAACTAATACGGATCCAAAAATATTCTTACGAGAGAATTTGACTTGATTCTTCACAAAAGTCCTGAATTTCGCAACCTCAAGACCGATTACAGTAATTTTAAAAAACCGAACGACAAACTGTAATACTGTAATCTAAAAATTGAAACATACCGGTCAATAAGGTATACAAAACGTATTTTTAGTTGGTTTTTTTTTCCATTATCAGGGATCTGGAGCTCGGCTATCAAGTGTCCGATCACTTTGAAAATTTTGGAGGTTATAAAAATGACCTAGCGTGAAAGCTTTGTATTTATGGGGTTACTCATGTAGCGAAAGTCTGCACCGAAAATCAATGCAGGAGTGTCGCGAAATGCATTTCAATACATTTCGGTGGCACCGCAATGTATTGAAATGCGTTTTGAAATAACACTTTCGCTACATAGATAACCCCATTACAGAACTTTTTGAAAGTATCTGGTTTTTTTAATCTATTTTCCCATTTCTGAATGACACCCTTTTTTCCAGTTTTTTTTACTGAAAACGTGAAAAAGCAGACGTCCTTCAGAAATCGGCAAATAGCTGAAAAACTAAGAACTTTCAAAAAGTTCTGGAAGTGTAAAGTTTTAAATCAAGATCTGTTTCACAGACTCCAAACTTTTCAAAGCGATCGGACACTAGACAGCCACCCATCAAGCATCTTCAGAGGTTTGTGGAACGGAAACCTGAATATTCATTATGGGATTCGAAACCCAATTTATCGGAATGGAAAGAGCTACAATGACTCTTAAAATTGAATTACTTGTACAATTTCGTTTTAATACTGTTTGTTGCCGTATCGCTTTCTCGTCGAAAAATGTAGCCATCGTTTGAATGAGCATATTTTAAATACTATAAGCCCGCAAATCCGGAATATTTCGAAACTCCGTTTAAAAAATAAGATTATTAGGAATATTGGAAGAATTTCGAATTTCCTTTACTTATAAAAGAAATTTCACAGATTGACAACACTTCCAGAGTTGATGCTATTACAATTAAGTTATACTTTTTGTAAATTATGAATTTTATTCTAGTAAGGTCAATCTACTTTCGAAATTTTGGGATGCACGCTCTCCCCAGTGAAAAATATGAACTGCAAACCTTTTTCTCAGCGGAGCGCGGTTGCGCGCGGTGAAAATTTTTATTTTTCAAATTTTGTACTGAAAAACCGGTTTTTAGCAAAATTTTCTCATTTTTCGCCAATTTTTTAAATTTTTGGTCCATAGGAATTAATTGCCCGCGGTACTTATGTCCGGGGTATCAGGTTCCTGTGAAAAAATAGAAGAAAATCAACAAGAAATGTAACAAAATCGGTTTTTTATGAACAAGTTAGAAAGAAACAACAAATAAAACCTTAGAATTTAAGCAAACTCACTTAAAATCCTTAAAAGAGTCTCTAGAACAACCACGAACCAAATCCAAGCTCGCAATCACTCAAAACTAAATTCAAATTGTGCGCGCGCCGAGCGGGATAGCGGAGTGTCGTTGCGTGGGTAGAGGGAACCTTTAGAAGGGGTTGGAGGATAGATGCACCAGGCAACTAATTATTAAACCGGCTAAAACACACATTTTAAGTAAAAAAGCAGCGAGTTCCGACAAAAAATGAAAGAGGAGATAGATTTTTAAGCAATTTTCTAAAAATCGCAATATCTTTTTTGACCGGTTGAGCATTTTGGCGGATAATAGTTCGAAACACTCAAAAATGAATTCTTTACAATAGTTTAACAAAAGAAATTCTAAAAACACCGAACAATTTGAGAAATGTCCGTTTTTAGAAAATTGCTTAAAAATCTATCTCCTCTTTCATTTTTAGTCGGAACTTGCTGCTTTTATACTTAAAATGTGTGTTTTAGCCAGTTTAACAATTCCTGTGGACGAAAAATTGAAAACATGGCGAAAAATAAGAAAATTTAGCTAAAAACCTATTCTTCAGTACAAAATTTAAAAAATAAGAATTTTTCGCCGTGCGCAACCGCGCTCCGCTGAGAAAAAGGCTTGCAGTTCATATTGGGAGCTGGGGAGAGCGTGGGATGGATAATGTTGTAGTACTCGAGCCGTGCATACGAAACCTACAGCAGATTACGGTATGCACATTATCGCCAAAAAGTCAGACAGAAGTTTCAAAGAGCTTTCCCGAAACCATTCCTTCGATCATCAAGAATATTTTGATTATTCAAATTTGCGCTTGATATCGGCATTCCTGTTTCCTAATCACACATTCCATAATTTGTAGTCTACAAAATCTTACCGTATTATCTACGGATCTTTCTCAACAACCAATTCGGCTATTTCCCACGTTCCGCCCATCCGCGTCCCGTCGGTTACCGTACTTTTTCGGAGTTGTTCGGTGTTGCATGATATAAAACTGTGTGGATCCACATTCTTCTAATCCTAATGATCTTTATTCTGAAACAAACATCTCTTCCCAATTCAAATATTCAGGTTGACAATGTGAACGAAAGGATTTGAGCAAAGAACAGTTTTGTTTCATTATTATCATTATGTGAGATGCGATGTGATAGTTCTCTATGGGGTATCATGAAGGAATAGGGTCGGTGTACGTGTGTTGTTGATAAATGCTTATCACCCTCTGTCAAAATGTTTCATTCTCGGGGGGAATGGATACGGAAAAGGGATACGCTTCTGTTTCTGACGATCAAACAATATCTATGTGCCTTGTAGTCAAATTGTGTTGATGTGCTCAATTGAAAAAAAAAACAGGATTTTATTAGAAAAAAAGTATACAGACAAATTCAGAGTTTTCATAATGCAGTCAAGAGAAATTTTAAAAAACAATCTGGAATGAAGGCTTTCGAAAAAAGGCCTACAAGTTTATGGATGACTGGACTTAAAAACGGACGATTTGGTGCAGGACAAAACATTTTGAAATGCATTTTTTTTCTAAAAATTTCGAGGAAAATGACAGTTCCCAGATTCCTAGCATTTTTTTTCAGCAGTATCATGACCTGGAAGTTTGGACATCGGAGAATAGGAAACAAGAATCCAGGACATCCAGAGATTTTCCTAGTTTTTTCCTAGTTTCCTAGTTTTCCAAGGATTCTCCTAGTTTCAAAGCTAAAATCACGAATCGGTTTCCAAAAAATCATTTTAACTTCAAAAAGTGTCTTCCTTCTTCTTATTCTTCTTCTTCTTCTTCTTCTTCTTCTTCTTCACGTTTGCACGCACCTGTTCTTATCATCACATGTTCTTCCTGTCCCTTCGTTATCCTTCTATTTGGTTTTCTCGATTCTTCTTTATCTTTGTCTCAATTCAAAAACTACCATTGCAACTGACGATAATTAATACAGACAAGCTATTTCAACACTTTGGTGTATAGACCAGAAAAGTACAGTGACGTGTAAGAATAAGAGGATAAAATTTCGAAGAATGGCTCAAGAATCATCAGGAGACAGTAGCGTAGTTTTTGTAGTCTAGACACAAATGAGTTGCAGCTTGAATGAACTCGGAGTCATTAATGATACCCAGGAATCAGTTCGGAGGATCGATTATCATGATGATAATGATGATATCACTAGAAATATTGTATCAGATTCAGGAACATCAGAAAAATATTCAGAGAAACTCCACTCTCACAACTCGTAGGCCAAAGCTATATACAAATTAGAAGAAATAGTTTATCATTTGAACTACAATTAAGAACAGTTAAAATTATTATGATCATCCTCCTTCGTTCGCTTCTTGCTCGTTGCTGGTTCTCCAGGGACATGCTCCGGAAAACTAGGGGAAGCTACGTGGACGCTGCCAGGATAGAAGACGGAAGGTTTTGTGTCTACAACACACTGTGTGTGGTTATTATTGAAAATCACAGATTTCGAGTCTGCTTTAATATATCCTTACACACAACAAAACTACTCTGCATCCAAGTTGATAACCTTAAAAGGGGACACCGACAAAAAATTTTTATTGCATTAAAATGTTCGAAAAGTTGTCTATTCTCCCAATATTATAGCGAAAAAATTCGAAAATCCGAAATCCCCGAAAAATGCCGTTACAAGCGAAAAATTTTCAAAAAAAAGTTGCTAGGAGGGACGAGGATTTT